GGCTCAGTTCTCTAGAAATCAGAAAAACATGAACAATCCTAACTGTTATCATCTGTGAAAGAGGAGAGAGATGTGGTACCAACTGGGTTCTATTCTCATTCCCCCCACCGCACGCTACTGCCCACTCCACCACCATGAAATGAATTCGTTGCTGGAGGGAGAGAATGAAAATCATAGTTTGTATTGATTTGGATCCTAAGTTCTCCGTCACTTTGGACTTCAACTGCACACCTTACGCTAGAGGTGTCTTATATTTAAGTAATTCTGTCTATCTGTATAATGGGGGAAAGCACTGGGTAAATTGTTATAGATTGTAAACAACTATATATGTAAACAGGCCACTCATTTACAACAAGTCTATTTGAAAACCAAAGTACTTTCACAACATACTGTCATTTCAACTTCATGACTCTTGTTTCCAGAACATAAAAACATAAAGTGCATTAAGAACCTAATGTGTCTGGATCCTTAAGTACAATCACAGATCTTTTATTTCACAGATTAGAAAACTAAAGCTCACAGATTAAAATTACATCCACAATCAAGAAGTTGTAAGTCATACAGCCCGGCCTCTGTCCACGAAAGCACAAAGTTAACCCAGGAAAACTAAATGACCCATTAATGATTTGGTTCCTCAAATAAAAGTTGATGCACATGGTATAACCACATTAAAAATAGTTTGGCAGTTCTTTTAAAAATAAAACATATACCTAACATGTGATTCAACCATTTCACTCCCAGTTGAGCCAAAATAAATGAAAGTATTTGTCTACGTATCTCTACAGACATGTATACAAATGTCCATAGCACCTTTACTTGTAATAGGCAAAACCTGTGAAGTTCACTGTATGTTAACAAAGTGATTTAAATAAAAATTCAAGCACATACTTGACATTCATTAGTATTTCTTTCTCAACTATTTTTCGACCAAGTAGAAAGCCACTCTTCACTTTGACTCGATAGCAGACGTTATGAAAACTTAACACAGCTCCTTCAGTAAACGACTTCAGGTTGTTGGGGGTTGTCCCAGTGAGGCCATTGCTGTTTCTTTGTGACATTGGGATAAAAACTTGGTCGTTACTGGAAGACATCTGGAGAGTTTCTGTGTATCTGCAGAGGGAAAAGCAACAGTAAGCTGATAGCCCAGATAAAGACTGTAAACACTAGGTAACAGTACACTTATAGCAAGTCCGTCTAGGGCTGGCCAAGTGGCGCGTTGGTTTAGAGCTGGCTTGGGATGCCAGAGGGTCCC